TTTATAAAAAAGAGAACGATTTTGAAATATGAATGTGTTTACTGTCTAGAAAATAATTTATGCAACCTAACGTACGCGGTTTTGCATTTTGTTGATACGCGGTTTTGTAATTTAAACGACCATATATATGTATGTTTTGAAATTAATATGTTGCAGGTATGTAATTCTTTGTCGTTTCACAAATATTAAATGCCCATTAATGCATATCCCTGCGAAAAATTGTGCGTCTAATCTCTAAAGAGAGTCTTCCGAGTTTACTCTCAATCAGGTACAATTGGGCATTAATTAATCGCAACTAGTCTCATACGGGTACTAATGGAGATCAATTAGTTCCCAACTCATCTCTAACGGGTACTATTACCGATTTAATGATATCTAAATTGATATGAAATTTCATGTGCGGCGTTGGCACATAGAGTGAGTATTCGCTTTAAAAAAACTGAGAACCGCAGCTGGCGCAAATTTTTATTTTAATTTTTATACCCGTTCGGGTATAAAGGTGAACCATTAGTCTCTTCATAGGACAAGCTCGCACAAAAGCGAACAGTTCATTCCATATAAAGAGATCAAAAGTGGTGTTAGTGGCATGTTCCTTTGCGATTGCTCTCGGAGTCATCCCGGATTCGTCCCATTTTTTTGCAGGGATGCTTGTACGTTCTACATTTGTATGTACACCTTACACGTACATTCTTTCCCAAAAAATTTTGGTTTCAAACTCAAACGAGTATAAAATAACTAAACATGATTTGTGGTTGAAGTGAACATGTGGATGAATTTATTCGGAAAAGAAAGTGGTCTGAAATTTCTGAACTTTTGGGAACAAGAAGCAAGACGACTTTTATGCGGTAGAGAAGCTAACTACTAATTAAACAAAAAAAAGGGTGTTACTAATAAGAAACAAATTTATTTTAAAAGCAGCCAAGTTTTGTTTAAACTAAAATACATGCAAAACTTCAGTTATTTTGCCAAATAGTAGGAGTGCCAGTTACTGTCGAAATTCGACCGTTTTTCTTGTAATATAACAGCCCTGGGATCTAAGTAAATCGTGACTACAATTTTTTATATCTTTATTGTTTTATTTTCAATATTTTATTAGTGGGCAGCAATATAAACTGTGGTATTGTAAAAATCCTTTGATATGAAGTATCCGGAATGTGGACCCGCAATCCGTAAAATGAACGAATTCTACTGGCAGTAACATATCATTTTCCATAAGAAAATGCAGGTGTTCGCAATAAAAACTAACCCTTTGAAATATTTGCCCCTTAGATTTATTTATAGTCATACCGAAAGCGGGAATGATTGGAAACTGTGTACCCTGGGACGAAAAGGGCAAAAGAATGCCAGAATATGATTAATGAATGCGAGGTATTAACATTCGTAAGCCACACGAAAGTGCAGTTAAAACTTCACAACCTAAAGGGTTTTTATGCTTTTGTTTCACTAGCATGCGAGGACCATTCACCAAAGCCTCTTTGTGTTTAGATTGCTTATATGTAAGTATTAAAATACAGTTTTTTTTTTGAGTACCATTTTATGTGGAGGTAATCCGCTGACAGTTAAAAAGTTTAAACATTCAATACGGTAATCGTTATGCTCCCGAACATCATCACAAATAATATTATCAACATTAAAGTATGAATTTTCTTATCTAGGCATACGCTCCAAAATGTCTGCATTGATAAAAGACAATATAATTTTGGGGCCAATATAACAGAAAGCAAAATGTCATCAGAAAGAATGTTCTCGCCAATATTGCCAAAGATTTATTTAATTACAAACATACATATATTATTTGAGAAACTACATTATTAAGCGTCAAAGTCAAAAGATGAAAATTCAGATCAGATTTTAATATAATTTCCAATTAGGGTGACACGAGAATGGTGGGGAACTACCGGCAAAATTTGGCGAAAATCACCAGACATTCAAATTGTCTTTCCCCAAAATAGTTCTTTATCTCCCATTGCAATTAGATCACGAAAAATTCTGATAACTCTAAACTTCTAAAAACTAACTTCGAAAACACTACATTCCGACAGATTGATGAAAATCGAAGACTCGACTAATTTCGATGACTATCGATAAATTTCGATAACTAAAACGCGCACTCATTAGCCTCGATAACTCGATCAACTGCAAAAACACTAAATTCCGATAACTTAATTAAAATTGATAACTCAAAATATTTCGATAATTATCGATAAATTTCGATAGCTGTGCATTTTCATCACTCGATAACTCAATAAATTTCGATATCGCGATACATTCTTGTACTCCGATAAAATTTGATAAATAGTGATAACTCGATAAACTTATGTATATAAAACCCTATAAATTTCGATAACTCGATGTACTTTGGAAATTCTAAAAATTTGGATTCGATAAACCTAAACATTTCGATAACTACCAACAAATTTCGAAATAATATAAAAAATATCTATAGCTCGATAAGTTGAAATGACTCGATATATTATGATAGCTCCATAAAAATTTCGATAACTATAAAATTCATTGACTCGATATACTTGATAATTTTCGATAACTATATTTTTCTTGACTGGATATATTTGGATTGTTATCGAAAAATTTCAATAAATTTTTTCCCTTTCAGTTACCCTAATACTTATGTACATATGTAGACACACATATGTATTTCTTTATCGTTTTTCATCATTTCTTTTTTCTTCACATTTATCTTTTCATCTTCATTTCTAATACGAAGTGAAACAAAATGCGAAAACAGCTCAAATTGAACAGGTTGCAACAACAACCATACACAAATGCGAAAATTTTCAAACGACGATTTTGGTCGTAATTTTCAACCAATTTCGAAGCCATAAAAACTTCCCTCATCTACAGAAAAATACCTTTCCAATGGTGTTGGTTTTTAAATTGGTTCGGTAGAATCGCCAAACAAAGGCGGACCAAATTAATGTTAGCGTATTAATATATAGATACATACATACATATGTATATACATATGCCCAAATGTATGACTAATGCTTCAGCTTTACATTTGCTCACCGGTAACCAATTAGTCAGCCAGTAAGCCGGAGATCGGAATTTACGTAAGTATGTATTTGATTCGTTCAGGCGGAATTTTTATTCAGCTAAACAAGTATGCGTTCAATGAGCTCTACATAGTCCATGAACTATGTTGAAAGTGGTTCAAAATATATTTCTTTGACAATCGAATATTAGAATTTTAACCTTCTGTGGTTGAATTATTTTTTGTATATACATGCGAATACAATGTAACTACGTATGCATGTGTATGCATAATTATTTTGTGTAAGCTATTATCTGTCATTGAATGATTATGTACGCGGATTACATGAAACAGCTTTTAGAAATCAAAAAATTTCCTAACAAAACACACAAATGTGATAATTGGTAATCACTATTTGACATTTTGTCTATGCTAGATCGTTAAAAATTTACCTGTAAATTTATATTTCATCCAAATTAAAATTTCTTGGCTTTTCGGATCCAATTGGGAATTCTGATTATGCTCCCTTTGTATCTGTCTCCTGATTCTATCACACTTGGATTAATTTTGGGCTCGTTTCCAAAGTTTAAAATGTCTAACTCTAGAGGAGTTTCTTATTAATACCATATACTTTGTGGGTTCTCCATTTTTTTGTATTACATGATACCAAAGCGCGGTGTATCCATTATATCAATGAGGAGCAATTTGAGTATTTGCCATGCATTAGGATGTTCTAAAACACAAAGAAGAAAATCTCTTTTCGGAAACTTCATATTCTTATAAACTATTTCCACCCGAACCTTAACTGCAGTTAAGAAGTCATGTAAGTTGCAAGAAATTCCACATGTGGTGGTCAGCAGGGTTTATTTCTTACTTTAAAGTTGAGATCCCCTTTTTTCAATAGGCATAAACTGCAGTTAAAGCTCGGTGGAAATGAATTATTACGCTATAAATATATTTTTCCCATTTGGACTAATTTGGAATTTTTCATTGGTTATGCTTTTTGTTCTCCTTTCCAACTTCTTTTCAAAACCCTACAAGCGGTTGGGTCCCTAATGCTATGTAAGTTAGTATTGGTTTTATAGTTGCTGTATACATACGCAGTGCAAATTTCGACTCATATCCCCAATTCATACCAAATGCATACATACATACGTAATAAATGACAATAATGAAATAAGCACAAGTAATTTTTAAGCAAAAAACAAAACCGACTTCAATTCTCATATAAAAATTTAGGATTAACGTTAATTTCTTCACGATCCAATTATCGGATCTAAACAAAATTAGTATGGGACCATCCTTGAGGTACCACCTTTCCGAGTAAATAGTATCGAAATCGGTTAACTTGGTCCAAAGTTATGCGGTAACATACATAAAAAAAAATAAAAAATATTCCGATGAACTGATAGCCTTCTCCTTTTTGTAAAGTAGGTTAAAAATAAATTGGGTCTTGATGTGCATAACCTATTGCAAACTGGACATTGATATATTGCCCATTTTTGTCTTTTAAATGTCAAAACTTTTTTTTTACTTTTATTCAAGAAATTTTTATTGTGTTTGTTGTAACATTCATAAAAAAAAAATATTCCGAAGAACTGATAACCTTCTCTTTTTTGTGAAGTCGGTTAAAAATAATTGGGGCTTGATGTACATAATCTATTGCAAACTGGACATTGATATATTGCCCATTTTTGTCTTTTAAATGACACACAATTTTTTCTTTTACTTTTATTCAAGAAATATTTATGGTGTTTGTTGTATATATGTTAAAATAACTTAAATCATTCATCCTCTTTGACTATAAATCATATTTATTATCAAGACCGAATCAGCACCAGTGATACATAGTCTTAAACTTCTCCTATTTAGTGAATGTGATTTAGCATAATTTCCAAGCGCGACATTGATTTTGTTAAAACTGATAATGTTCTACTATGAACTCGCCACCTTTTTCGTTCCACTGTGTAACTAAGTTAATGCAACGTTTCCTTTCTTTTCCTTTTAGTGAAATTCATAATTCAGGCGAAGTAAATATTTAAAAAGACAACAAAATATAGTGACTACACAAGAAATAACTAAGGAAAACCACACAACAAAGTTCCGGGAGACGTGGAGAAACCATCAGAGTGAGAAAACTTCCAACAGGCAGCCTGCAAAGCCGCCCATTCCGATCCACTAAACCGAGCCATCCACTTAGTCACCATTCAAAACGAGGTCAACCGGCCAAAGTGGCTTTCTGCCCAACAAACCCACCCACCAAACGTTTAAGTGACTAACCATTGCATCGTCAAGCCAATCAACTCGAAAAATTTTGCGGTGGAAATATAAACAGCTGCACTGGCGCACTACAATAGACAACAACACTTCAATAACACCAGCAGCCACAACAACGCTTCCATTTACGTTGCCGGCGGTAGCGTTGTTTGTGCTGGTTCGGCTGGAGTACCCATTATTATGGAGGGCCCCGAGGTGACGTTCCTCTTTCAATTTGGCAGTTTACGTGATGCTGTATCGGTAGCGGCCAGTAGTTTAACATTGAAAACGCTCAAGGATTTAGCCTGTGAATTCATTAACACAAAGGTAAGTCCATTTGGGTTGGAATTTTAATTTCTATGTAAATAATTCAACAGACGAAGATGTAAGAGGCAAACCAGAAAGGGTTTTGCTAGGTATAGGCAGTTGTGTGCGCGTTGTAGGTTTATGTACATATGTCCCTTTGGAGATGTATAAATAGCCTTGAGCACTTTCTTAACACCACTACTACGCTCAGGCTAAAATACGCTTTAGAATCTTCACAGCATTCCGCGCTTTGTAAGGAAAACGAAGAATTTACGTTACAACTTTGTTTGTACTCGTATGATGAGAATTAATTTTCCGTATCAAAAGGACTTTTAAGGTTTTAAAATAACGGAAAAATGTAGTTTTATGAAAAGGAAAAAATCCAAAGGGCAGCACCTTAATGAAATGTTCTGTCCTTTAAAATAAAGTACGGATGGTCATCGTACGTATACACGTATGTTGTGCCCGACATAATGATAAGGTCACCATATATGCACTGAAAAATTTTATTGTTTCCTTTTATTAATTTATTTTTTTTTGTTTTGTTGTTGAACACGTGGTATAAAAATTAAAAGAACCAACAAAGTTTCATCAGGATTTCACAATACGTTAGTGTTTGGCCGAGCTTCTCCTTGTTGTTTTCACACAATGAAAAGGGACCTACAGTTTTACGCCAACTCCGAACGGCGATTCTATTTTTATGGGAAGCTTATCATCGTGGTTTTTCATGGAGGCTTGCCATTGCGTGCCGCTATTAGAAAACAGAAAACCCTTTTTATACCTTTCATGAGCATGAAATGGTATTATAACTTCGGTCCGATGTTTGTAAGTACCAGAGTAAGAATAGGTAGACACATTAAAGTATATACTTAAATGATTAGACGTCCAGCTGAGATGATTTAGCCATGTCCGTCTGTCTGTCTGTTCGTCTGTTTGTATGCAATCTAGTCTCTCAGTTTTCGAGATATCCGGATGAAAATTGGTAGGTGAGTGTATTTTTATAATGTATCAATCATTTGTCGTAACCGGAAGAATCCGACCACTATAACATATAGGTCCCATACAACTGATTGTTCAGATATGGGACTTTTCGTTATAACTTCTCCATTTATGCAGCTAGGAACATGATATTTTGCAACACTTCCACCCATTATCAACAGAAAACTTAGAGTGAAAATTACAAAGATCGGGTCACTATAACCTATAGCTCCCATATAACTGATTGTTCAGATATACGATTTTTCGTTATAACACCTCCATTTATGTAGCTAGGTCACAAATTATCAAAAGAATACTTTCAGTGAAAATGGCGAAGATCGGGCCGCTATAACCTACAGCCTCATACAACTGATTGTTCAGATATACGATTTTTTGCTATAACTTCTCCATTTATGCAGCTAGGAACATGAAAAATCACGCCGTTTTCACTCGTTTTTAACATAATTCTTATAGTGAAAATAACAAAGATCGGGTCACTATAACATATATCTCCCATGCAACTGATTGTTCAGTTATGAGAATTTTTGTTATAACTCCTCCATTGATGCAGCTGGGAACATGACATTTCGCAATAGTTCCACCATTTATCAAAATAATACTTACAGTGAAAATGGCGAAGATCGGGTCGCTATAACATATAGCCTCCATACAACTGATTGTTCAGATATGAGATTTTTTGTTATAAATTCTCCATTTATGTAGCTAGAAACATGAAGTTTCGCAATATTTTCTCTAATTATCAACAGAAAGTTTACAGTAAAACTAAGAAAGATCGGGTCTCCATAACCTATTTATAGCCTCCATACAACTGATTGTTTAGATATGGGGTTTTACTGTAAAACTCCTTTACTTGGACAGCTAAAACCGATAAATTTCGTAAGCTATTTTATAAATAATAATACAAAGTCTACTGAGGAAATCGTCAAAATCTGTATAAGCCTTATCTCTTATACCACTGATTGTTCAGGTACCAATTTTTGCGATATATCTGCTTTATGTAGGCGTCTAAACCCATTAAATTGTGTTACCGGTTTACATACCGATCACACAGCAACGAAAATCACTTAGATTGGTGCTGCCATACCTCTGATTGGTTAGATATGATTTTTATATACATATGTATTACCTCTATCTATCAAATGCAGTAATATGTTAAAGTAAAATTTTCAGATGTTCATGAAAGGTATGAAGCCTTCGGCATAGCCGAAAACAGCGCTGCTCTTACTTGTTTTTTTTTTTATGTTAGTCGGAAACTGGGCGCGATCCTATACCCTGCGGAATGGTAGTGCGCACTCCTAACCACTTCACCACAACGGCCGGAATAAACTATACTTTTATAAACAAATTATCAAAATTAATTTAAAAAATCAAAAATAAAATGGTCAAAACTTTTCAATAAAGGGCGACCGGTCGAGCACCCTAGACTTTTCTGTAAGAAGCTTTGTAATGGCTATGTGGTTTGGTATATTTAATATAATAGTACATCCCTCCGTTATCTACGCACGCGGAATTTAATTGTTTTCTTGACTATTATCTGCATGAAATACGCATGTAATTTTAGTGTATGCCCACTAACTGGGTTTCATTAAAGACCCACTGTAAATGACACTACGAAAACAAATCTACATCCATATGTGCATATATTATTAAATTAATTGTTGAGTTACCATAATTCCACTTCTAATCTCCCCTGATGTCTAACGTAGGCAAACTGCTAGTGCACCGCTTTAGACACAACACTCCATGTTGACTGCGTAATCGTGGGAGTCACGTGCATTTCGCAAATTAATTGCCACGCATTAATTACTTAATTTTATTTCAGAATACAGCCCCCAAGCGTTTCTCCACCATAGACTTTTGCGATATTACGATGGCCTTTCCTACTGCATAATGAATTTGCTTTGCTCACATTCAATTATTTATGACGTCAGAGTACTAAATAGAAGTAGCATATAATAATATTAATAAATACTAACGAAAAAGGATATGTTCTTAGTGGTCATAAGGCAGCTTGTCATTTACAATTTTATGTCTGTATGGTTATTTTTATATTTCATTTTAATACGACCAGACTTTTATCGCAATAACAGACAATGACGTAGATACAGATACATACATATATAGTACATGTATCTTAGACTGTGTGAAATAAGAGGACTACTATGTATTTCAGTCCCAGGTGAAAATTTCGTTTTCGATCACAAAAAAGTGTGGCAAAATTTTAGTTAGCGCTCGCAAAAATAAACAATTAAATATAACAAATAAATAAAAACCCTAGTAGCGCATTCAATTTTAGTATAATAAAGTGCAAGGGTGATATAGCTAGGACTTACCATTGCTTTTTGGCAATTTTTTTGGTTGACGGTATAGGTCACTTTCTTCCATGCAAAATATGAAATACTCTTGGCGATTTTTAGAGCCTCTTCTCTATACTTGCCATGGTCAAGAGCTCGCTTGTAAACTATCCTTTCTCTAGAGTTAAAAATTACGAAGCCTGAAGTAGCGTTTAAAGTTACTCCTTGCACCAATGTGCCGACTTCGATTAGCCCTGGTGCACCAGGGACCTGGGAAGGAGAGGCAGCTCAGAAGGCGATCCGAGACCCACCACCCCGACTGTCCTCAAATATCAATCTCTCCTCCCTAAGCATTTTCTTCTCCCAATATTCACTATTAGTTGATATGGATTTTAATATGTAATAAAAAATTTTACTGCAGGATGGTTTTGGACTTAGTTAGCAATGTTATCCCACGATAAATTAAGGATAATCGAGTTATTTTGTTAATTCTTCCTTAAACGATTTTTCATTTTTAGCTCAAAACACTTGATTATGATGACATAACAGGAATTTGAAAAAAAGAAATGACCAACAACTTTTTGGTTGAAACTTATCCAAGCCCATTTATAATAACTACATATGATTTACACCAACACAAATATTTATTTTATTTTTATATCCACAAAAAAAA